CCATTAAAGCCGGGCATGGTGAGGCACGACTCTAATCCCAGCACTCAGGAGGCCAGAGCAGGAGGACCTCCTGCTCTACCTAGTGAGACCCTGTCTTTAAAAAAAAGCTATTAAAAGGCAGATTCCCAGGAACTACCCAGATTTACTAGGATCAGAATACCCAGAGAGCCAGGCAGGAAGCCTTGCATATATACTTTCAACAGAATATTGGAAAATGTTTCTGATGCAGGTAAATAGAGAAAAAAATCTAGAGGAAAAAAACATGAAAATGCTCTTCTGACTCCCATTTTCAATAATCCTGAGGTATGTGCAGAATATATAGATACCTGAAAGGAATTAGTCTGTTTGTTTGTTTGTTTGAATTCAGGGCTTTGTGCTTGCAAAGCAGGTGCCCTATCACTTGAGCCACACCTCCAGTCCACACCTCCAGTCCATTTTGCTCTGGTTATTTTGGAGATGGGATCTCAAAACTATTTGCCCAGGGTTGGCCTTCCAATCTCACCTTTTCAAGTAGCTAGGATTACAGGCATAAGCCACTAGCGCCCAGCAAGGATTAATCTTTAAGTGTTAGCACTTACCTTCCTAACTCTGGAAGGCAGTAATTTACCTTTGTCCCCTCCTTCCTCCCTTTTCCCCCCCAACACACAAACCCAGCACCCTCTATATGTTATAAATATGTAAACAAATGTTAATTATGAAATGCATGAGGCAGCCCCTGGCCGTGACTTCCTTGGTTTTCCTGAGTCCTTAACTCTGGACAGGGTGAGATACAATTAAACATCATCTCTGAGAGATTCACTCATTTGTAGCCACAAGGAATTTGCAAGGCCAAGGACAGGACCCCAGTATACCCAATTCCAAAGTTCAGAGCAACCCACTCACTCCTGACATTCACCTTTCCACTATTCATGGACAGGCAGTCAAAGAAACACCTGAGGTTAGAGCTCACTTGAAGAGGAAAGGCATGGAGGCATCTCATAGTGATGGATGTGGTTCCTTGGCCCCAAAGAAAAGTTACAGGCCAGACATAAGAGGAAGCCTTACGCTGTCATGGTGCTGGGGTTCCACACCCCAGCAACAGCAAAGCAGACATCTGAAGAAGGCAGAGAGGAGTGGTGACAGAATCGGGGACCATAAGGATGACTCTCAAAGACAAATTACCCACCTAACACAATGGAATAGACACTAGTTAACACCTCTCATGCCGACCAAACTCGGGCAAGAATAAAAAAATCAAAGTATAGAAGATAAATTTATGTTTCTTACACTGTTTATTTCACTGGAGTAAACTTTCAGCATGTTCCACATCTTGTAAGGGATGTAGTTATGATGTAAAACTGCCAAAAGTCTGAAAACTGAATGCTTTGTAAAGAGGAACTGGCCCAGGCCAGAGAAAGAGCTAGCCCAGGGAAACTGAGCCAGCCTCCATCTACAACATTTGGACTTCTGTTAATGGAGAACAATACAAGATTCAAGTAAGAGGTATTCTAAAAGCACTACCAAAACCTCCCTACTTAAAATGAAATGCTTCTGGGCACTGAGAGCCTCACACAGCCAACCTCTCTGAGCCATGTGCCCATGACATCAGCTTGTTCTACGTCTCCCGAGAGTCTGTCCAGCCACCAGTGGCAGTCTCTACAACAGCACAGGCTTTGCGAGATGACATTTCACCAACTGAGACGCCACTAGCAACAGGAGAGCAAGGATTTAACCACTCTCTCTGCGTGGAATGCACCTGCCCCAGAAGCCCCTCAACGCCCACACCAGACGAAAGCTCTTTCACTCAACCTTCCACCTGTTGCTAACCCCAGACCTGCTGGGTAAGGCCCAGCAGAGGGACGCAGAGCACACTCACAGGCTTGCTAGGCAGCAGGAGTGGGGACACTGCCAGGGGGCAGCAGGGAAGCAGGACAATCCCTGGGAGTCTCAAGGGCTTGGATGATCTCATGCTCAGCTGGACAGGACTCCTAAGCCACACCACTGTTTCTAGTAACAGGGGAAAGGAAGAATTATTGGATAAACAGTGATGAGAAAATGTGCTATTTAGGAAAAAATGGGGCCTATCATAGAATGTCATAGAAATCCTAGACTATTTTCTTGTTTATTGTTAGAAATGAAAGACAATAGCTAATACAAAATCTATATGGAGATTTAGGTGACCCTGGGATTTTAGAAAAATCCATTAATGGAGCTGGGGGTGGTGAGGCTCCATGGTACAGCATGCTCATCAAGGATTGGATTCAATCCCCAGCACCAAAAACATAAAACTGCACCAAAGTAATGGACACAGACATGCATTATGTAAGCATTAGAAATATACCACTGTTCAACGAGTGAGTAAACGACAGTCATCAAATATTGTGTCTTGAAGATTTAATGCCATGAATGTTAACTATAGGAAATTAAAAAGGACTCAAGATTCAAAACTGTTTACAGTTTTATAAAAAAGCATTTGTGTATGTACAGAAAGGGGCTGGGGGAGGGAGACCAAGAAAAAAGCTGAAATATCAGTAGGAATACCTGGTTAATATGGAAATAAGTCATCTTTATTTCTTTCGGGTAGGCAGCTACCAATTCACAGGTTTAGGAAGCAGGTGAAATTTGAGAAGAGGAGCAAACACCCAATAGGAAAATGAAAAACCACTTTCTGTCTACAAGGTAGGCCTTGTTTCCAGGAGGCCACCTCCTAAGTGACTAGGCCGGGTTCAGCTTTCACATTTGCAGCAAGAGGAATGCACAAAAATCACCGACAGGCCTCCGATGTTCAAATTTCCTGAACTGCAGAAGGTAAGTAAATACAGAGTGGTCATCATTGCCCACAGCTGACTTCACAAAAAGTATAGTATTGGAAAGGTGATGCCAACAGAAGCAATGGCTTAAAGCAGTGAGTGACAGTCAACTTTAACCAGCATCACCTGGGACACTTCTGACTTCACTCAATGGGTCTGGAGTGGGTACCTGCGACTCTGCCTCTCTACCAGGCTAGTGCTGCCTTTCCAAGTGCCCTACATTGAGAACAGCTGCCATAAAACACCGCAGTAGATGTTTCAGGTGTAGCCCCTCCAACAGCAGGACTTTTAAGAACTTCCCCTTTGAGCAACTGCGGCCTGCGAGAACAAGGGGTGAATGAAAAAGCAGCCTTCTCCGTGCATTTACAAACAAGCTCCCTGGCAGTGCTCAGTGACATAAGACTAAGTAATTCTAGCTACTTGGGAGGCAGAGATCAGGAGGACCATGGTTTGAGGCCAGGGCAGAAAGTTCTAGAGACCCCCACTGCAACAAATGGCAGGGTACTGTAGCATCTCTCTGTTATCCCAGGTACCAGGGGAGCACAAACAGGGGTGATCGCTGTGCAAGCCCGCCCAAGCATAAAATGAGTCTACCTCAAAAATATCCAACACAATAAGGGCTGGTAGAGTGGCTCAAATGATAGTGCACCCGAGTTCAACCACACTACCAAAAAAAAAAAAGAACATGCTCCCCAGTACTGCAGCTCAGAACACGGCTAGGAAGCCAACAGCCCAGTTCCGATCCTGCACAACACCTACTAGCTGCGATGCTAAGCAAATTACTCAAAATATCTCACCTTGAGTGTTTTCAGATGCAAATTAGAGATAACAGCTACCTCCCCTCCAGCTGGCAAATGGAAATGGACTCCAGCCCAAGTCATCAGTGGGAAGTCGTTACTTTTTTTTTAAAGACTTTTTTTTTTCTTAAGACTTATCTTTTTTTTTTCTTAAGATTTTTTTTTTTTTTCTTAATACCTCGGCTCAAGTGAGCCTTCTCCCTCAGCCTCCCAAGTAGCTGGGACTACAGCTATATACCACCATGCCTGGCTTTCCTGCACCTACATTTTGAAAGCGCAACAAACAGAAAATACATGAAGAATTCTGTGCCCCGCCTGAAGTTCAGGAGATGGTTTGCCTATTTTGAGTTATTATTTACATATATTTACATATTCTTTCCTCCTTGTGCCCCTCTTTAAGGGTGCCAAACAGCCACAAGCAGGTACTATACACACCGAATACACCCCAATTAAAACAAATGACTCGCTTGCTTGGGATCCCTAGGCTTTCCCAATTAAAAAATATATATATATTTATATCAGAACACGTGGGAAAGATGAAAGGGGAGAGGTGAATAAACAAAAACTACAATAATCAGCCAAGTGTGGTTAAATAAAGCCCAAAGGCTCAGACCCTCCTTATTCCTAGTCCAGGCTACTAGATAGAAACCTTTAGTCCTTCACTCACCTAAGCCTTTTCACCTATTTCCTCTAACAAACCTGGTAATCTGGGGGTCCTCCCAGCTCAGGTACCTATCAGTGAGGTCATAACCTCATAACCACCTGCGTCAAGGCCATGGATGGCCTCTGAGGACTAGAGATCCCGGTCAGACCCCCAACAAGGTCTCAGGGAGTCCACCTCAGAATAGTCAAAGGTGGAAATGAACCTGGAAAAGAACTAGTCAAAGACATCCTCCAGCGTGACCATGTGAATCCAGTTAAAAGCAAAGCGTGGAAACAGCTTGCTCAGGCAAATGTCACCCACATGAAGGGGCAGAGAGAGACCCAGGGACACACACAGCGGGAGCCGGTGCGGCTGGAAGGAGCCTGTAAGCCACATCAGAAGGGGTGGGGCCACCATCGAGAGATGGCGCTGGTCCAGGACGCTAATTAGGCTTCGGCTGCGATTAGATAAGGGCAGCAGTTCATGGCTGCTTGTTTCAAATGACAGAAAACGATGCAGTTTTGGAGCGGGGGTGGGGGGGTAGGGGGGCGGGCATGCGGGGTGCAGTCGGTGTGCGCGCAGCCTCGACCTGCGTCCCCCAGTGCTCGCGGTCCCCTCCCGGGGGAGGCTGTGCCCGCCACCGGATCCCCGCGTCCCGCATGGTGGTGGCGGGAAATCCCCGCGTGGCGGCTGCGCGCAGGACCGCGCCCCTGACCGGGCCAGACATCGGACGCGGGCCGGCGGCGAGGCCGGCGCGGGCGGGACACTCACCAGAAGAACACGCGCGAGCAGAGGTTGGCGTCCTGCAGCGGGTTGGGCTTCACCTCGGTATGGACCGGGAGCATCTCGCCGATCGGCTCGCTGTGCGCGGCTCCAGCAGGCGCGGATGGAGATGCTGGCGCTCGGGCCGCCGCGCCGGTCCGCTCGGCTCGGCTCGGCTCGGCGGGAGCCCGACGAACAGCCGCTTCCGGGAGCCGGGCGCCGCCGCGGCACGCCCCGTCCCCGCCTCCCGGGGAGCCTCGGGGCGCCCGCTGCGCACCGCCGCCGCCGCCGCGGGGGACCTGGGAACCGTGCGAGCGCGGCCGGGGGCTGCGCGCAGGTGCGGAGCGCGGGACCCCTGGGTCTTGCCCGCCGCGCGGCGGCCACGTGCCGAGGCCCGCCTGCAAACTTTGCAGAAGTTTGAGATCTGCGCCCCGCAGCGACCCTGAAATCGGCCGGGACGGGGGAGGCGCCGGCTGTGCCCGCCCCTGCTGCTCGAAACGCCCCCTGGGCTGCGGGGTTTCGGGAGACCCGCAGAAAGCCAGTCAGGCGGTCCCAGCAGCCCGCCCCCTGGGCACGTTGCCCTCATCAGGACCAAACAGGGTGCTGGAGGAGGTTCTCCGATCTTCCTGCCAAGCGTTTGACCTCCGACAGCAGCAGGGTTTAGCACAGATTATTTTTATAGAGTTGCAAGACCTGAAAAGAGGCAGGTAACATGAGACCAGAATTCCAGTGATTTGAGGACCTGAATGAATGGTGTCTTTGGGGGCAGGCTTTTGGCATTCCATATGTTGCTTTGCACAGTTGGGCTTCACCCTATCTAAGCCTCTGGGAGCTTTGGGCTTAGATAGGGAAAGGGAGATAAGAGAGACTGCCTGTCATATTTCTTTCATCATGCCGGAAGAGGCTACCAGAATAGCAGTGGCAAACTGATCAAATGTCACAACACACTGTTATGTACATTTCTGAGTACCTTAACTTGCTTTTAACTTTTAACCCTTTTCAAGAAAAATATTGGAGTGAGGAGGGGATTTCATATTTTACAGAAGAAAAAACTGAGACCTGAGGCTTAAAATAGTTTGTCCAAGGTGTTAGGGTCAGTAATGACGGAACCTGACTAGTGATAGTCAAGTCTGCATGGCTTGCATGGTCTGTCTCCCTTGAGGATGGTCGGTAAGCATGAAAAGTGTCCAGGGTGTGCCAGTTGAATGAATGAATGATTGTAGTGATGAATAAACAAAATCTTGCTCCTAGTGTTTGGACTCCCTCTCACAAGTCCTCAGCTATGCAGTGTAGTTTCCTCACCAACTCAGCAGTTTCTCTTCCCCTCAACCCTAAATGAAGAAAGATCAAAGGTTACAAGTTCATGGTTCTAGTAACAAGATCAGTTTACCATACTTTGATCATTTCCCATACATATTTATTAAAATGGTCAGATTAATGATGGCTTTTAAAGAAATTCTTACTGTATACAAACATTTATTTAAAAGTTCAGTGTATCCAGGCACAGTGCCTGGAGCCTGGAGTTCCAGCTACACCCCAGGCTTAGGCAGGAGGGGCCCTTGAGTCCAGGAGTTCGAGGCCAACCTAAGCAAAAACCTAGTTCCTATCTCGTAAAAGAAGTAATAAATAAATAAAAGTCAAGTGCATATGAATGGCAAAACGTTGGTAATTTTGAACTGAATGATGGGTCTATTAGGCTTTTGATGTTTCATGCACGTTTGAGACTTTTCATCACAAAAAGGAAGACATTTTTGGCTGAAGGTGTGGCTCAAGTGGTAGAGTGCCTGCCCAGCAAGCAGGAAGTCCTGAGTTCAAATCCCCCCCAAAAGGAAACATTTCAATTTGAATAGTGTAAGAAAATTAGGATTATCTATTTGATTATGTAATTCAAATATCTTCCTTTCTGTATTTCTCGGATAATGCAGTCCTCACCTCATTTATGGTGCTCTCCCTAAATTCAAATTCAAATTCCCTAAATTTTCTAACCCAGTAGTACCAACTCTACTTCAAAGCTGAAGAATTTATTTGCTAAACTTAGAAGTATGGTGAGTCCCCTTTGGGCTCTCTGTCCCCCACAGCTCTGTCAGCCTCCAAACTGCCAAAGCACTTAGTCCCTTCAGCTTCTGCTGAGTTGTTTGGTTTTAAACTAAGCTCTTTTGAAACTTCTTAACGTTCTTTTCTGAACATTAATTAATGTGGTGTTTAAAAGAACTACCGAGAGCCAGCCTGCTTGTAGAGAGAGGACTAGATAATGGAGTCAGGGTGCCAGGGCTCTACCTTTTTGTTATTGCCTGGCCTTTCTGATCTTTATTTTTCTTAGGTCTGTAGTGAGAGTCAGAATTCCCACTCTTTATTCTTCACAGGATTACTGTGAGCCTCACAATTTAGGAATAAATACTGAAGGGAATATACAAAGGAAAGGGATTTTTTTCCCCATTCAACAAATACCGGGAAGGGGTGTAGCTCAGTGACTGGACAATGGCTTAGCATGTGGGAGGCCTTTGGGTCCATCCCCAGTGTGTGTGTTTAAGTGAGTGCCTTGGGTTCTTGATAGCTAGGCCAGGCACTAGCTTGCAAAGTAGGGGAGCTATCTTTAAAAAGACAAAGTATAATGGTGTACCCCTGCTACTCAGGAGGCAAAAATAGGAGGCTCACCCTTTCCAAGGCCAGTCCCAGCAAAGTTAGCACAAAACCCTATCTAAAAGACACTAGAAACAAAAGGGCTGGGACATGACTCAAGTGGTCAAGCACTTGCCTAGCAAATGTTAGGCCCTGAATTCAATCCCCAGTAACATGAAAAAAGAAAGTAAGACCTCTATCTGCACTTGTTTATTGACCTTAAATAGTTCAATGCCATAACTAAAAAGGCAGACAATAACAAGTGTCAGGGAGGGAGAAATTGGAGCAGTGATAGCAATGGACAATGGTACAGTCACTGTGAAAACCTGTGTGGCAATTCTTCAAAAGTTACTTATGTGACTCAGCAAGGCCACTCCCAGGGACATCCCCAAGAGAAAGGAAAACATGTCCACGTGAAAACTCGCATGTGCGTATCCCAGCATCATTCATAAAACCCAAAAGAGAAGAAAAGCAATTGTCCCTCAACTGATGAATGGATAAATAAAATGCAGTGTGTGCCCACAGTGAACTAGTATTTAACATTTCAGAAAAAAGGATGAAAGGCCGATGGGTAGTGCAGCACGAATGAACACTGAAAATCCCATGCTAAGTGCATCCTATAGTCAGACTTTCATGGCTGTGACAATACCTGAGAACATCAACTTACAAGGGGGAATGGTTTATTTTGGCTCAGGGTTCCAGAGGTTTCAGCTGGCCAAGTTGCTTTGGGCCTATCATGGGAGCTTGTGATGAGGAAGATTGTTCAACTCAGAGCCTACAAGGAGCAAAGAGGGAACAGGTGGAGGTGGGCAATGTCCCAGTGTCCCCTTCAAAGGCAGTGCCCCTAAGTACTTCCTCCAAGTAGGCCCCACCTCCCAATAGCTTCACAGACCAGGGGACTAAGCCTGTAGCATCATGGCCCCTGGGGGACATTCAGATCCAAATTCTAGCACTAAGGGAATGTAGCCAGTCATAGAATACCATGTGCCATATGAGTCCATCTATATAAAATATCCAGAATAGAACTATAATTATAGAAATTAGATTCATGTCTGCCTAGGGAAAAAGTTGGGGAGAATGGAGAGACTGCTGATGGATACCCAGTGTCTTTCAGAGACAATTAAATGTTCTAAAACTAGATTCTGATATAGTTACACAATCCTATGAATATCCTTAAAAAATAGGTGAGGGAATGAGGACTGTTCAATGGTCAAGTGCTTGCCTGGCATGAACAAGACCCTGAGCTTGCTCTCCAGTACCGCAAAAAATAAGTGATTGTATGGTATATGAATCATATCTCTAAAACTGTTAAATTTTTCAAGATACAATAAATTATAGATATTTATATTATACCTACTGTGTGCCATCTAAAAATATACAGATTGCCAAACATAATTTCTACCTTTGAGTTGCTTGCAGTGTAGAAATTCTCATTTATTGGGTGTAGAGCAGGGTCTAGACACTGGTGTTTTTTTTTTTCAATAAGTCTTCTGGTTGGTCCTAATGAGCAGTCAGGGTTGAGAAGCACTGGACAAGGTGGAGAGAATTAAGTGTGTACAATAGCCATCAAAGAGTGTGGAATGATAAGTGAATGTCAGGGCTGGGGTGTAGCCCAGTGGTAGAGCGCTTCCCTGACATATGTGAGGCCCTGGGCTCAATCCCCAGAACCTCAAAATAAATAACAGCAATAACAATAATTTATGAATGCAGGAAATGCCAGAGTACTCTAATGAGAAATTGCTTCCTCCTAGAAGGGGGCAATCCAGGCCGTTAAGGGAAATGGTATCTTAACAGGGCCTGCAGCATCACATATCAAAGGTGTTCATGGTCCAAGAAGGGGCAGGGTTGTAGTCCCATGTCAAGGGAAAGGCACAAACAAGACACTAGGATATGACCCTCCCAGGTGCCTTTAGAATTAGATGCTTGAAAGCAAGTTATTGGAGTTGCTTCTGAAAGCATGACTTGCAGGTTGAACTGGCCAAGGTTCTGTAGCCACTCTGAGGAAATGGAGCTGTTTTCTCTCAACAAAAGGAAACTGTGAAGGTCTGAATGGTTCTGAGAAAGAACACTGACTTCAGTGTGAAGGATGAACTTAGGAGAGGGAGAATGGAGATGTGGGGAGGCAATAAACTGACAAAATGAGGTAAGGAACTTGATTAGAGCTTGGTAGCAGTGACTGAGAGGACGTCAACAAGAGATGTTTTTGGAGGAGGAATCACAGGATTGTGTCATATCTCTAAGGATCACAGAGCCCAGCACTTAGTAGGTGCTCATTAAATATTTGTTGAACAAATGCTCAGAAAAACAAGACAGAAGATGGAGGAATCGAAGTAACTCTGGAGTTCCTAGTTTGAAAAGTGATGTCATTCATTACAAAGCAGGAGTACACAAACAACTTATTCAGGCACACATCTTTGGAAATTCAACAATTTAAAGACAAAATATAAATATTTGTGATTATAGGTGGAAATGTTTGAGACTTAGCTTCATGAATGCCACGCTAAAACATCTCCTTGACAGGTAATAAATAATATTGAAAAAATGGAATTTCTCCTTCAATTTCTACTTACTGGCTAAGAACCATAATTTTGTACATAGCTCCACTTCCCATGTCAAGCATTAACAGTGAA